GCCTTCTGTCAAAGTATATAAACGTTTTCAAAAAATACTCATAAGTGTTTACGAAACTTACATACCTGCTTTCCTCGTACACATACATACATAATAAATCCTGTTAAGTCTTCGTGTTCTTTTAGGATTGCCTCATTATATAGGTTAAATAAACCGTGTGAAAAAATGCATTCATCTTTTACAATTCTATTTCTAATAGAGTTTTTTTTATGTGTATTTTTGTATCTTTAACCAACTTAAATTGTATTTGCCTGGTTTGGTATCTCTAATTTAAAAAAAAAAAATATCTGGGAAAATGGTTTAACAGAGGATGGAAAGTGCGACACCGGAATCCAAAGGAGCATTGGGATAGCGAAAGATGCTTTCTAAAAAGTAGGCAAAGTATTAAGAAAATTTCGTTAGAAACAAAGAAAAGAGTACTGAAATGTTACGTAATGTTAGTCCTTTTATATTGAAAGACCTGAAGCATCAGAACGATGCTGAGAATCTCATAAACTGTAGATGTGAGCAACGACGAAGTTTTAGAGAAAATGTAAACAAAAATAGACACGTATACATAATATCAGAAAGTGACAGTTGAAATTTCTAGGAAACATAATGAGGAAAGAGGGTTTGGTAAATTTGACACTCACATGACATTTTGAAAGCATGAGGACAGAGGAAAACAACGGATAACCAACCTAACAAGTTTGTGTAAATGGATGGCAGAATAGGGTTCAGAAAAGAGATATAAAGGGCAGGAACTTGTGGAGAGCCATGATCGCCAACGTCCTGAAGAGACATGGTACATAGAAGAAGATCTTGAACAAAGCCATAGTGTTTGTGTCCAATTCCGCTACGAACTCAATTCATTCGTATGCAAAAGATAAGATTGCAGATGTTAATCATAGCTTACAAGGTTAATTTAAAAAAAATATTAATTCTAATCTCAATAACCAGGACTTCTTCAGATTACTTTGAATGGAGGGTGAAAGATATTTTTTTCTTCCGTTATATCCTTTTAGGAGGATTTCTTTGGTAACAAAGAAAAGAATACTGAGCTATTACGTGACATCTATCCTTCTCTACGACAACGAATGCTGGACGATTTCCTCAAGGATGAAGAAGAGACTCGAGGCGACGGAGATGTGGTTCTACAGAAAGATGTTGAGGATTTCGTGGACCGAGTGTGTGAGCAACGATGAGGTCTTCGAGGGGATGCAGAAAGTAGGAGGCTCATGCTTAACATCAGGAAGATGCAGCTAAAGTTTCTGGGACACATAATGAAGAAAGAGGACCTGAAGAATCTGATACTCACGGGTCGAATAGAGGGAAAGAGAGACGAGGGAAAGCAGCGCGTGACTTTCCTGGCGTGCTTGAGCCGGTGGATGACAGAACGTGGTCTGGGGGAGATTGCAGATGGAAGGAACTTGTTGAGAGCTGCAAGGGATAGAGGGACGTGGAGAGCCATGATCGCCTACGTCCTGAAAGGACATGGCGCATAAAAAGAAAGAAGAATCAATGTAATATCAGTCCTCCTATATGGCATTGAATACTGGACAATCTCCTCACAGCCGAAGAAGAGACTTGAAGCAACAGAAATGTTGCTCTACAGAAGGAAGTTGAGAATACCGTGAACTGAACATGTGAGCAACGGCGAAGTTTTAGAGAAAATAGAAACAAAAACACATACGTATACATAACATCAGGAAGAGACAGTTGAAATAGCTAGGGCACATAATGAGGAAAGAGGACCTGGAAAATATGATACCCGTAGGACAGACTGGAGGCAAGAGGGACAGGGGAAACAGAGCGTAACATAACTAACGATCTTGTGTAAATGGAGAGCGGAACAGTGTTTAGGAGAGAAAACAAACGGATAAATGTTTGCTAAGACCTACAAACGAGAGGAAATTATGAAGAACCATGATTGCCTACGTCTTGAAGGAACACGGCACATAGAAGAAAAATCAAAGCGTATTATAATAAATCTATCGTTTCTACTGACTTTAATAATTTTTTTTCTTTATGTGTCGTGTCTCTTCAGGCCGTAGACGATCATGACTCTCCACAATTTCCAGTCTTTTGTAGTCTTAATATTTTTTTTTCTTTTCGTTATTTCTCTTGGACCCAATTCCGCTATCCATTTCACCAGGTATCTCAATCATTATTATCTCAAAAAAAAATTCTTATAATCTAAAAGAAAAGAAATTCTGGTTTTAAATAACCTGCAAAAAGCTGATAAGCCGCAGCAAACGAATCAATCACAAAATATTTCACACTCCCTATTTTTCAGTTTGCGTGCTTTTGTAGATTCTCAGGGAAATTTACGAATTAGTTGGAGATTCCTCCATGTAACTCAATCTTTTCCAGTAGTTCTTTGTTTGGTAATCTATCAAATATCCTAAACAAATTTCGATCACACTTCATTTATCTAGTGACGAGCTCTATTCATTAGAAGTGGAGTAATGGATAGCGGCTTAGATTGAGAGCCATGTTCGAATTCCAATCGAGGTTTGTTTGTTTTTTTGTTTTTTTTTACATTTACTTACGTGCTAATACACACGGGTCTAGGAGAAGGATGACTCTGAATTCAATCTCCCTCTGACTTGTAGGTCCTGCCTCTTTAGGCAAAGGCTAGAAGGAGATAACTTCAAAAACAAATCCATCTCACATGTCGTTTCGAAGAAAGGACCCCACCTCTGTACTTCGAGCCGCGATAGAAAATAATGGACTCCTCGGGCTTAGTACAATGTTTTGAACAAGCAAAAGACTGGGACATAGAACGGCGGCGTGGGTCTCTCTGATTTCGGACCACTCGCCCATGGGTGTATCACCTACAGCACTTTAGAGGAAACGTTAAAAATTGCTTTATGTTTCGAATGCGGAAGCACGGTAGACTAATGGATAGCGGCTCGGACTGATAGCTGAGTTCAAACTCCAGTCAAATTCATTGAATTCACCTACGTGCTAATACCCTTGGATAAAGCTATGAATCCACTTCCCATTGGTGAATAGCAGAACATGCTTGGTATAGAAGAAGGAAAAATTTGGATACAAACCAACTGCTGCTGCTTCTTTAGACAAGATGGTAATAAAAACGATTCCAGCTTGCATGTCGTCTCGAAGAAAAGCAAGTGCTCTTTTTACTTTGAGCCGACGCATAGACTCCTCGGTTTTAGTTCAATGGTTTGAACAAAGACAAGACAGTGTCAAGGACAATTCTGATTTCGAACCATTCGCCCACGAGTGTATCACTTATGGCACTTTAGACGACCATGTTTCGAATGCAAAAAGGCATTCTAGAATAACTGGACGAGAGGAAATATCTTGTTCGTAAAAGTTAATTAAACTCTGTGGTCGCGATCAGACGGTGGTTTGTCTTACAAAAGCCGGGCTAAAGTTCGAATCCTGCAGGAGAGGACTTCCTATTTATCCAGTTTTTTGATTAGGCAGGCAGGTAGACATAATCCGTATTGAGTAATGAAACAGGGGTTCTACTCAAAATTGGTTATCCACTAAATAATATATTGTGATATATATATATATATATATATATATATATATATATATATATATATATATATATATATATATAAAACAGCGCCGTGAACAACTCTGATTTTGGGGTATCGCCTACGGCACTTCAGACGACAAAGATTTATTAGAATTGGGTACTGAAGGCATTCTACAACACTGTTTATAAACCATATTGGTAGACAATTCTCTTTCTGTCAAATTATCTTATACAAGATTGACTGAAGATTATTCAGTATCGATCCGTGATTGTTAAATATTCTTGATGCAATAATTGAAAATTGCAGCTTTACTTTATTTAATTCAACATATCACTCGATGTATGTAAAGGCTGTCTTCAGTCTCCAACTCTTGAAGAACACCAAATCACAGTCAGCATCGGAGATCGCAACATCACAACCTATGGTCCAGCTGGCACGAAAAGAATCTCACCAGTTTGGTAAAGAGCTAGAATTAAACACCATCCAAATTAACGACATCAGACAAGAAAAATTCCGTTTGAAAATCTCATGACCATCGTCAAAAAGAGCAAGTTGAAAGTGTATCGACACCTTTCCAATAATTTTTTTCCACTGCCATCTTTAATGTTTTTAATCATTTCATCCCAAGCAAGGCAGTGAAGCCACTAAGATGCAAGGAGTTACTGAGTGTGAGAGAATATGAAAAAAAAGAAAACGTTATTAAGGAGAGAAAACAATAAAAGAACGGTACCATAATTCCCCACATATAATATGCAATTTTTCCTCACTGGGTGCCCCCTACTTTTGACCATGTGCCACATCTAAGCTACGCTTGGAAAATCGCTATAATACTCAATTATTTCTGTAAAATAATAAGCAAAATTAGATGGGCGTATTATGGGCTGCAAAAATATCTTCAAAAATTAACGTTTCATCTGTTCATTTCAGTTGCGAAATGACTAATCAGCACAAACATACGACAATTTGACACTAACATTCGGCGATTGCGACCCCATAAGGATGTCAAATACAATCATATGTACCTAACAATACAGACATACGTAAAATAAAATATAAATTATCATAAAAATAAATTAGAATAATATTATTCTATGTTTAAAAGCATTTTTTGCGAAAAATTACATACAGATCCGGTAGATTGCACATTTTATCGAACAAAAACAAGTTAAGCAGTATGCATAATATAGGTATTTCCATTTCCTTTTAGAATCGTGATGATCGGAAATTTTGATAAATATCTTCAATTACTGCATGGATAAGAATAGAAAAGGCTGGTCGTAATGAAATTGGAGAGGTACAATTTATAGGGTTTGATTACCAAACAAGGGGTGCGTATTTTGCGTGAGTAGAATCATTTTCCCACACTTTCAGTACAATTTTAGGGGTGCGTAGTATGTATGAAGGCGTACTTTACATGCGGAATTACGTTAATTAAGGAGACAGAAGATTCGTGTTCTCATTCCAATCCGTTACCGATTACACTACCTGCACATCCAAGTTTATAGCACATGATATCCTAAAGTGGTTACCCATTTAGGTACTAAGCAAGCTCGACTTTGCTAAACTTCGGTGTTCAGACGAGAACCGGTGTTTCAACGTGATATGGCCGTAAACACTTAGTCATAAGAATGATGAAAATGATGACAATGATGAGGATGACTTTATTTGTTTGAGTTTCCTTGATGATTAGAATATATATATAGAGAGAGAAAAAGAGACAGACAGACAGACACAGATTTGATTACAATGTGACAGAAAGATGAATTATACATCTTTTATGGGACATGATTATTCAGGGTGTGGTTAACCATGGCTCTCCACAATATTCTATCTTTTGATTTTCGAAATGTCTTTGTATGCTTTATCCACTCTCTTTGCCCTTGTTCTTCATTCATTTACACAAATTCGTTTAGATAGATAGATAGATAGATAGATAGATAGATAGATAGATAGATAGATATTTGTTTAGTAGATTACTCACATCGTTCCCCCGACCAAGCTTCTCTTGTCTTCAATATGACCCGTGATTATTATATTCTCTAGATTCGGTTTTCTCATGATGTGTCCCAGAAATTTCATTTGTCTATATCCGATTATAAGTGACCTTCTTATTCCAGTTTATCCTAAAACTGCCCCGGTCTTTCATATGTTCTGTCCTTGGGATACTCTCAGCATTCACCGGTCGAAGCCTCATCTCATTTTTTTTCCAATCCCTTAATATTTTGCTTATTTTCTAGAAGGCATTTTTTGCAATTTCTATGCATCAACATATTTAACTTTTGCATTTTTCTATCGTCTGCTTCGTTAAATTTCTCCATCTGCTTGATTTTGAAGTTCCCAAAATAAAAAAAGCACATTTTTTAACCAATTGACTACAAGCAAGACGATGTTGCCTCTAAGACGTAATAGTGCTACGGGGATTGAAAGTGCATGAAAAGACTTTACAAGGAACCGGAAACACAATTCTAAACAGGAAACGAGTGAAATAACTCTAATCCTGTTCAAAAGACCGACGAGTAGAATGAACCGAACGAAAGGCGAACCTATCATCTCCTATTGAGGGATAAAATACTAAATAAATATTAAATGAAATTTCAGAGTTTATGCGGAGACTTTAGAAGGATAAAGTTGAAGAAGACACTAGAAGGGACCGGAAACTTATCCTATTTGGCTGAGGATTTTGTTAACTAACATGTTTTCTCTTTTCCTGCAGTTAAAAATGTTTTCTTTATTCTTGCTTTACTTTATTAAATTGCCAAAGGTTTCTTTCACTTTACTTTAGGTGTAAGATATTATCACAATGTTATCCGTGTATCTTATTACGCTAAGATGTGCCTGCCAAAAATAAATCCAGTAAATTAGTCGGGTTTTCTTAGGATCGTCTCGTTATATTTGTTAATTAAATGCCAGTGGGGAAATACATTCATCTTTTACATATCTGTTTCGAATAGCCTATATTATTGTTGGGTCTTGAATAAAGCCACAGTGTTCAGGATTTTTCCCTAATTCTGCTAGGAGCATTATTCATGGAAAGTTTACGTATGTTAATCAAGACTTATAAAAACCATTTGAAAGCCATGAATTCTTAAATGATTTTAGTTTCTCGCCACTTTGAATGTGGACGAATTTTTTTTTTCTATATGACTAATCAAAGATTATTATATATCTGTCTCTTCTAGGGAATTTACTAGTACTTTTGGTTGGTTTATATTTAGAGTGAGAAGTGTGGATAAAAATAGAACAAAGTGAAAGAGAATTTAGGCTGCAATAAGATAGATAGATAGATAGATAGATATGAAAAGGCTTATGTAGATACGAATAGAATGAGATAGATAGATAGATAGATAGATAGATAGATAGATAGATATGAAAAGGCTTATGTAGATACGAATAGAATGAGATAGATAGATAGATAGATAGATAGATATGAATAGGCTTAGGTATATTATGTTTTTCCATTTTTTTCTTTGGATTGTCTCCCTGTAAAGTTTAATTAAAGTCTGAGAGAAAATGCAGTTGTTTTCTATATTTTCATCTGCATGTTGGCTGTATATTCCTAGGTATGTTTATGGATTAATGGAAAAATCAATCTTTTCGAATACTTCGCGCCACGATTTCTGTTGTAATCTATTAAATAAATTTAAAAAAACATTTTTGATAACTTGTCTTTTGTAGATCTTAATAGATGTCCTCTTTTTGTTATCTCTCTTAAATCTAATCCCACCATCCATTTATTCAAACTCATTATGCAGGTTATTTCTTATTTCCCCTTTTCCTGTTGCCTTCAATCTCTCCGGTGAGTATCAGATTTTCCAAGCCCTCTTTCTCATAATGTGCTCTGATCTTCCTGATGTTAGGGATAGATGTACTTTTTTATTTCCATTGTTTCTAGAACTTCGTCGTTGCTCACGTGTTCGTTCCACATTATCCTCAGTATTCTTCTGTAGGACCACATCTCTGTTGCTTCAAGAATCTTTTTACTCTGTGAGGAGATTTCCCAGTATTCTCTCTCATATAAGAGGACCCACATTACGTAACAGTTTTGTACTCTTTTATTTGTTTCTAAGGAATTTTGTATATTATTATTTTGCTTAGCTTTTGGAAGGCACCTTTTGTTATTCCAATGTGCCTTTGGATTTCACGGTAGCCCTTTCCGTCCTCTGTTAATACACTTGCCAGCTATTTAAATAGTTGTACTTGTTTGATTTTGGGATCTCCAGTTTGTAATCTGTATTTTGGGCTGATCCGTTTACTAAAAACTGTCCATTCCATATTCTTATAATACAGTAACTAAATAGTTAAATATCTGAACCTGCCTAATACTGAAGTTCAAATCGTCCTGGGTATGAAGATAATCTACATCCGCGTCCTGGGTAAGACGATAAACTATATCTGACAGCAAGGCCTTTAATCAGGAGGTTTTGAGGTGCATGGAACCACCTCTTAATTACTGGTGTTCCCAGGTCCACCCTGATCCACCAGCTATAGGCAAAAAGTTAACCCTCCAAAAGGGGTTAAAACAATATGAAAGTATAATAGGTTTTAATACCAGCAATACTTTTTTTGAAAATTTTTTTACCAGCAATGCAATTTTGAAGAAAAAATTATTCCCTGCAATACATTATTACCAGCAGTATATTTTTTTTAAAGAAAACTATTACCAGCCATAAATTTTTGGAAAAAATATTACCAGCAGTATATATTTTGAAAAAAATATCCCCAGAAATAAAAATCTTGTCGGCATTAAGTAATCCATTGCGGTTGATATACTGTAAAACAAACCAAACCAAACCAAACAAACTGAAGTTCAAAATAGAGACGGTATATTTTGGGATGATGCCGTTGCTACCGAACATTTATTCTTTTGGTTGGCTGGTTGATTTTGTTTTGTCTCTATGGGTTATTTAATGCTGAAATCTAAATATTTTGTACATGATTTTATGACTTCAAGTAGCTATATTTTGAACGCAATTATATGCTTTCAAATACAGATAAAATGTATTGTTGGTTATTTTACTATAAATAGGTAATGTTTGTCATTTTTTAATATAAAAATAATATTGCTAGAATTTTTACTATCTGTCTATATATCTGAGATGAGGTATCATCTTTGTCGCCATATTTATTTCAAGGTTTCGGCCTTAAGGACACATGACACAGTGGATAAAGACGTTGGTTAGATCCAGTGACAGGATCCAAAGAGTGTGAGTTCAATACCCGGTTAAGGCAGTAGAGAACTTGCGGAGGGGAATTAACAGGAGCTAACTGGCATCCATTAAACATGGCACGTGGAACTAGAACAGTCTACCCCAGTGAGCGAAATAAAGGGTTCAGTCCCACCACCTGAAGAAGGCTGGAGCGTACAATGGCCGAAGCGTTGTAATAAATATGGCGACAAATATGAGGACAATAATCCGAATAATGTAAATAGTCTCTAGAATTTTTACTATAAAAATGTATTTTCACACTTTCATAGTGTTTTGTTTTTTGTTTGTGGATTCACAATTTACCCATAGCAAAAACCCTAACATGTACTACCACCCCGTGTCAGAAAGGACCTGGAAACAACATCAATTAAGAGGTGATTCCACTTTCCTCAACATTTCCTATCTCGCGATTGTTGTCGGAGGTAATTTATCGTTATAACCAGGACTTTATTTATTTTGTCTTCTGACAGTTAAAGAAATGCTCTTATTTCCTTTTATTATATTGGCTCATATTTCTTGTTATCAATGTATCTTGTCAATATAACACTTGCCAAAATATAAATTCTCGTAGGTCCTCAAGTTCTCTTTGGATTATCTCGTTATATGGGTTAAATAAACCACGTCTGGAAATGCATTCATCTTTTATTCCTGACCAATTACGTTATAAACTCTAGTTATTCGTAATTGAAAGATAAGTTTATATATATATTAGTCGGGACTTACAAAAACCATGTATTTTAATATCAATACAACTTCCCAAGTTAGCTTCTCGTCACTTTTAATGTGGGCGAATTTTGCTTCGATGATATCCGTTTTTTTTAGGCATGACTAATCATATATCCTTATATATATCTCTCTCTAGCTGACTTGAATAATTGTTTGTGTAAAAGTGTCAGGCTTATATTTTAGGTTAAAATGGTGGATAAAAATAAACGCAAAATGAAATATGGACTACAATAACATAGAAAAAAATATAGATAGATAGATAGATATGAACAGGCTTAGGTAGATGTAGATACGAACAGAATGAGATAGATAGATAGATAGATAGATAGATAGATAGATAGATAGATAGATAGATAACAGAATGACATACATACATACATAAAAATATTCATGCGTACATAAGTAGATGTTTTGTGATTAAATAAAAAGGAAGCGGAGAAAGAAAGAAAAAAGAAAGAAAGAAAGTGGGTAGTAAAAGAAGAGAGATATTTGAAAGGCTGAGAAAGAACTTTAGTGTTTTTAGAGATGGCTTCGTTGAATGAAGCAGTGGAGAAAAATGGATCAGAAGATTTTAAGTGAAACGAGAAAAACAAGAAAGAGAATAAGTTAGATAGATAGATAGATAGATAGATAGATAGATTATTATTTTTTTATGCATCATGGCCTCTCTGGGTGTGGGCGGTACATCATTTCTGTTGTGTTTCCAAGTGACTTTTCCCTTTCTCACTTTGAACCTGACCGTCCATCCATTCATACAAACTCGTTAAGTAGGTTAGTCGCTTCCCCACCCCGACTTTCAGAACATTCACTATGCCGTGGGATTATTAAATTCTCCATTCACTCTTTCCCTAATACATGACCCAGAAATTTCAGCTGTTTCTTTATGATTGTAAGTATGAGTTTCCTTTTAGTTTTATTCGCTTGTTCTGCACAGTATTCATGTATAGAACCCTTTATCTGTAGTATCAATACTCTTCTTTATCTGTAACGATATCGTTAACATTCCCTACCATATGAATATTGCACGGCAGTCGAATAGACACTTTTTTATTACAAAGTAAATTTTCCGATCTCTTAAAATTTCGCGTACCAACTGGAAGGCATCATTAAATGTTCTTATCTGTTCTTCTTTACGGGAGCGAATGTTCGACGATTTCCTCAAGGATGAGGAAGAGACTCGAGGCGACGGAGATGTGGTTCTACAGAAGGATGCTAAGGATACCACGGACCGAGCGTGTGAGCAACGATGAGGTCTCAGATAGGTTACAAACAAGGAGGAGACTTATACTTAACATCAGGAAGAGGCAGCTGAAGTTTCTGAGACACATAATGAGGAAGAAGAGCCTGGAGAATCTGATACTCACGGTCAAACAGAGGGAAAGAGAGACAAGGGAAAGCAGCGCGTGACATACCTGACAAGCTTGAGCTAGTGGATGTCAGAAGGTGGTATGGGGGAGGGAAGGAGCTTGCTGAGAGCTGCAAGGGATAAAGGGAGGTGGCGAGCCATGATCACTTACGTCCTGAAAAGACATGGCACATAAAAAAAGATTCTTTTAAATTTTTGTTTTACATTTTCCGTTATCGCTTACTATGCTTACGAGATAATTAAATTTCTTCATCTGCTTCATCTTGACGTCTCCAATGTGTAGCAGGCAACTTGACTTGTCTCTTTTGCTGACAATCACGCATTCTATTTTCTAGTATTTCACAATAGGCCTTATTGTTCTTTCCTTTACTTACTAGTCTATTTTTTTCCATTTTTCCCGCATCTGCCCTCATCCTAGTCTAATCAGCCAATTTCGTTAACAAAATAATCGCCAATAATAAATACATAATAAATAACTAAAAAACAGTAATAAATAAGAACGAGACGTGGTGTGTGGAATGAGATGAAATCTTCTGTAGATTAAATAATGCGCCCACTTCTAAATTCTTTGATCGACAATTCACCTGATGAAGGCTGGAGGGAACAACAGCCGAAACGCCGAGATAACAAAAACAAAGTCATAGACAATAATTCCCATGTATCAGGTCATCCCATAAGTTCTGTCCGATTTTTAACTTTTGTTAAAATGAACGAAATTTAAACAGTATTTTATAATGTCTAATGGAGTTGAACATTATTTTTATGTTTAGATGCATTTAAACTGATCAAATTTTATTTCAGAGAACAATAAAATTAAATTTTGTTTAAACCCCTGCGAACATGGAAGTACCCAAGAACCATTTGAGGCACATAATGCTTTATGAGTTCAAGAAAGGAAACTCAGCAACCGAAGCGGCTAGAAACATTCACTCAGTTTATGGAGAGGAATGTGTGAATGAAAGAACTTGCAGAAGATAGTTTGCAAAATTCAGAGGTGGAGATTTCACCCTTGAAGATGAAGACCGACCCGGACGTCCAGTTGAGTTTGATGAAAAGCTTCTTGAAGCAGCCCTTGAAGAAAATCCTGCTTTATCAGTTGAGGAATTGGCAGTGGTTCTCAGTTCAAACTATACAACTGTTCATCGTCATCTTCAACAACTTGGAAATTCTTACCACCTAATGCAACAATTAATGCTCAAATATACTGTCAGCAATTAGAGCGTTTGAACCAAGCTTTGAGGGAAAAAAGACTTACTCTAGTGAATCGAAAAGAGATATTTCATCAGGACAATGCGCGACCCCACACAGCAAGAATCACGTCACACGTCAAATTCCTCATCCACCTTATTCTCCCGATCTTACTCCTTCAGAGTGCCATTTGTTTCGTAGCTTACAAAATCATTTGGAAGAAAAAGCTTTTGTAATTAATTTTGGAATTAGCAAGCTTGTTAATAGATGGAAGGAAGTCATAGATAATCAGGGAAAATACATTGTTGATTGAATCTGTAATTAAATGTAACATTTGGTCACTTGTTTTCTTTTTTCTCGGATCGTCCTAATGTAGAGTTTAAATAAAGCCTGAAAGAAAGTATGTTTTTTTCTCTTTTTCTACACGCATTCTGATTCCCAGTAAAGTTTATGGATTCGTCAAAAATTATTCCGTGTGAATCTTTTCGAATATTTCAAGGAATACTCTGGGCCGTAATCTACCGAATAAAAAAGTATTTTTATTTTCGGACCTTAAACAAAGACTCATTTTTCTTACCCTATTAAATGTATTGTTTGAAAGGTCTACTTATGATGATTTGTGCACAATCGAAGACGTTAGAGAAAATCTACAAAAATTAAGGCGGCCTGTAGATTTTTTGCCCTGGCGCCCTCAATCATCCGTCGAATAATCAAGATTTGTCCAACGGTTGATCTCTTTTTTTCGGAAGCATTTTGATTTTTTCGGGGCACCTTTTCAACTTTCGGTAATCTTCTGTTAAGAAGCATTGAGTTGTAAATGTTTGCTGCAATGGAGTGGAGTTTGATTCCTTTATAGTTTTTGCCGATCCTATATCTCCTTTCTTTGGGAAAGCATGTATGCCGCCGTCTGTCCATCTTTCTATGACTTCTCCATTATATGTGACGTTACAGAATTGAGACAGAATATCGTTAAAATACTAAACCTCCGGAGGAATGTTATCAAGATTCGCTGCTTTCTTTTTTGGGGGGTGTATTTTAAAAACCGTTTCATGTTGTGAATCTGTAAAGTTTTCGGGTTTAACGTCAAGAGGATGTTCAATGATTTTCTCGAACGTAATATCTAAAACGTCAGGTATATTTCCGAAAATGTTTTTTTAAGTGGTCTTGCCATTTATTCGGTCTGTCAGCCTGACTATTGGCCTTTAACTTGTATTTGTTTGTTCATTTTCTGCCACTGATCTCTTTGACAGTTTTCCAAGCAAGAGCAAATTGTTTGTTGGAAGCATCAGACTTGATGAGTCGATATTTTTTCCAGCATGTATTCAAGGGTTTTTCTTTCTTGCTTATAAGCAACCGCATTTTCCTTTTTGCTTTTAAGTGACCGCTTTACTCTATTATGACAGAAATGTGGGTGACCAGAAGATAGATAGATATAAACAGGCTTAGATAGATAGATAGATAGATAGATAGATAGATATGAAGCAGGCTTAAAGAGATAGACGGATAGATAATATGATAATATGAATAGGCTTAGATAGATAGAAAGATAGATATAGATAGATAGATCATGTCCTATTTCTTGTTAATATTCCTCAAAACTGTAATTATCAATGGTTTATTTTTATTAGACAAGACTTAATCATAAATTACATTTTCAGACCAGGAATTTAAAAGATAACTCGTCAGTCAACGTCGCCCCATTTAAAATATTAGAACACTATTTTCCTTCTGAAATTTGGCTATTACTTCCGTTGTATCTTTATTCTGTATGACTCATCTATCTAAATGTCTCTGTTGGCTTTAATTATTGTTTCCTCAAAAGTAGCAGTTTTAGTGTAACTGGGATAATTTAAATCATAGATAAAGTAAAACTACTACTTTTACATAAACAGTTATTAGACATACAGACAGGCAGATAGATAGATAGATTTCTCTACCTGACGATTTTGTATTCATGAAACTCTGGGCCATGATAGAAATGCTTTTTTTATTTTAACACACACACTCACACACACACACACAAACATGTTGAATGTGTTAAAATTATGCAACATTTTAACGAGAAAAATCTCAAGTTGATGTTAAAAATTGTCGGAAACATTGTTGATTCATTTAAGATCTCATGACCTATTATAACATGTTTCTAATTTGTATTTAGATACTTTCTATTTATTTTCAATTTCTCTAGATGAATTGTGCACCTATACTGCATATGATTCATTTTTGTACATAATTAGGTTAGAATAAAATTTTTATTTTATATCAATACTATCTTATGAAAACTGAGATGAAATAGAGTTGAGGCCCATATCTTAGATCCGGGTGGAGGGAACGACATCCTTGAACCGGCCATATTTTTGTAGTGATTTTATAACATGTTTATGTTATAAATTTTTAAATTAATAATTATATATATATATATATATATATATATATATATATATATATATATATATATATGCAATAAGGAAAAGACTTAATTAGTGATCATATAATCGGTTATAAACTTATTTCAACAGTAATAAAATTCATGGAAATAGAATCTATGCTGTTATTCACGTCATAGTTTTTATTATAATAATAATAATAATTTAAAGGAAATAAATAAATAAATAATAATAAATGTAGTAAAAATTACCTATAATGTAAGCATATCCAAAACATCCACATAAATGATTAAATACATATATAACAATATACACATTCATAGTTGAAAACCTAAATATATATTTTTTTCAGTGTTTGACACAAAATAAATATCTATTTTAATACAATTTAAACTTATTTTTATGACGACATTTAAATATGATTTCATTTCCCTGGTTCAATAACTGGCTTGCATTTTTATACTTAATTATTTTAATTTTTTCTTCCAGGCATAGATTGTATCTGTTTCCGAAGCTGTTAGGAGTTTGTGAGTTACTGATGATGTTCCATTCGATCTGTGGAATGAAGCCTCTACCTTTCAATTTACAGAAAGGTTTTCAGAGAGCTGTCTGGTGTTTTAAGGAAGTGTCAGAGAACGAATGTTTGTGATTATAGAAACTCTATTTCCAATTCCCAGCAATAATTCCGATGGATATTTTTATCATTTTTATTCTCTTTTGGGAATATGGTTGCCTGGTATACACCATTTTCAGATTTACATATACACCCACTGGGAAGTTACTTTTGGTTCTACAATTGCAATAGTGCTTGTCATTTAATTGGTTATTGTAATTATAAAATGTATGTAATTTATTATTATTGTCTGTATCAATAATATTATAACGATTTTTCGTTCAAGAATAACCTATTTTTAATTTTTTTCTATTAAAAATATTTATGTGGCGGGTTATTCTGAATAAAATGTTTATTGATCAATTTAAGAAAGTATTTACTAATATTTATCTTATAAAGTTCTCAGAAAGTGGGGAAGTAAACCATATCACTTTTTTTCTGTGTTTGGGTTTATTTTTTTATTATCTTTTAATGATTCTTGGTAAAATATTTTTTGTTTAAAGCCACTCTTTTTGAGGGCTTATAAGTTGTTTTTTTTTTATTTTCATTGAAAATTTTATTGTTACAAGCTAATCAATTAATGCTAGTGCTTACCGTGTTTAGAATTTATCTGACAACTGAATTGGGATGATATAAATAGGAGTTTGTCTTTGTGAGACGACTTAAATGTGTTGTTTGAAAGGCTGAAAGTACTATCTAAATAATTTACCACTTTAAGGTCAGATGAGATTTCAATTTTAATCCCAAAGAACTTGAAAACCCTTATAATCTTCTTCTGTATATTAGAAGTTAGTAAACCATTACTGTCTGAGATTAAAAAAAATAAGACCATCATCTCTGTATAGACCAACCTGTTTAAGATCAATAATCCTAATAAGGGTCTGTAATATATATATGCCTACTACAAAATCGTTTTCCTGGAAGCAAAGATAACCTCGAATCTTTCATCCTTAATGTCTACATAGTTTTTTGCAAAATTTATGCTTTTTAATATAGATCCTCATCATGTCGAATTGAATAAATATGGCCTTATTTTTATTCTTAATGTTATGGAACCATTTTATTGTATCTGAAGAATCTTTCCTAATATTATTATAAGAGTTTTCTTTGCATCGTGTCGATTATTCTTTTACGTACGTTTTTAGAAATTAAATCTAGTTGTTTTGGAAGGATCGATCAGTCGAGATTATTAGTTGTTATTGAAACTGGGTTTGTGGTCCTTAACTAGCAAATATGCACTTTTCATATTAATTTCATCCATTCTGTCTTCAATTTTTTTTTTTTTTTTTTTTTTTTTGCAAAATTAGCAGCATCTTTGATAATTATTGAAATTGTATCATTATTGTCTAGTGCGTATGTATCTGCAATTTTGTTTCAGAAAATTTTGTGATAGAGGGGTTAATTTTATAAATATTTCTCGATTTGTCACCTCTAATCCACATATTTATTCGGATTCTAATAATTATTATGACTTTGTTCATATTATGTTGGAATTGGTTGTTCTGTATATAAATTTATTCATTGTGCGCTCATCATGGAGTTAATTTTTTAATACTATTATTATATTAAAAATAGCTTATTGGAATAATCCTACCACCTACGAATTTAGCATTATATATATATATATATATATATATATATATATATATATATATATATATATATATATATATCCTTTCAGTTTATGTCTTTTCTTTCTTTCTTTACTATTTGTCTTTGCAGAAATTTTTGGGTGGGATGAATACACCCATTTGAAGAGGAATCTTTCTTTGATGAGAGAAACGGATGTCTGATTAAACTTTCGCTGAATGTAGGCGTCCGAATAACAACATAAAGTATTTTACCAAATAATTTGGTTATAATTACAATTATTTCCTAATTATCCATCATTTACCGATTGTATCCATCCCGCAAAGCGTACTCTATGGACTTTTAGCTATTTTCAATGGCACTAATTTCTACACAATCGTTATACATTTGTATATAAATATATAAAAGTCTATTTATATTTAAATGAAAAACTAACACCAATAATAAAAGATTGCTTTCCGCCCAAATTAGTATAATTTTATGAGATAACGTATTTAAGTCAAGCAGTCATTTTAATTATAGTGCTCGATTTCAAAAGATCGAGCATTAATAAGAACAAATAATTTTAAATTGTTCAGTTAACTTTTGAATGTATCAAGTCGAAGTTCCATAAAACGCAGAGTAGAGACATTATTCTGTTTAACCTTTTAAGAAAATAATCTGGGTGAAGATTTTTTCTCAAAAGCTTCATATCTACTCAGTTTCGTATTTAAAACATAAATAAAACAATCTCTACCATATTAATGGATTTTATTTTTAATACGATATATTTTTAATCATTTCTCCCCAGGCAAGGCAGGAATGCCACTACTACGCAAAGGTTTACAGGGAGTGAAAGTGAGAGAAAAGACATGATATAGGGAGGATTGAGGAAAAGACAAAAATGAACGGGAGTCAAGAAGATAGTAGATGAAGATTGACGTTGCATTTACACTCTCTAAGATTGTAGTTAACAGGGAAGCACGTAAACCGAAGGGAATTCCACAGGTAGAAATGAAATGCGAGAAAAGAAGCTGTTGGAGTAGAAGTTGCATTTGGCTATTTTAACAGTAAAAGGGAGGGACCTAGATGTCAATCTAGTAGCACGCTTAAATTCATGCAGTCTAAGCACCAGGGAAAACGCTCGTCAGAACAGTTGCCATGAAAATATTTGTAGAAAAGACAGAGGGAAGCCACATCACGTCAGTGAGAAAGTGACTGGGGTCGAGATGCCAAGTCAGGATCAATTACATTGCAGATCCTTCTTCGGATTTTGACAAGAAACACAAGATTAATACCAGGATCACCAGATATGGCAGCAGTATTCAATGCACGGGCGAATAGTAGATTTTTAAATGTGCAATATGGACACTTACGAGAATTTTTTTTTATTTCAAACGTTATTATCTGAGTGAAGAGAATATTCAGTCAGAAAAAAGGTTAAATAGAGCTTTGTTTGCTACATCGTCCTCTGTAAAGTACACTAGATCAAACGATGGTTTCCCCTACAAAGAGGTGCACAAGTTCGATCCCTGCCGGAGACGTATTTTGCTTTTAATAAGATTTCTCGAATACGCTGGCTGATATACGTAATACACACGATTTAATAAATAAAAACATGGTAACTATTTCAAATACTTTGTATCCACACTAATAACGTTTGAAATAATAGAAATATTCTAACTTTATAACATCTTGGTATTTATTCACTCTGTTAACAATAGGATTAATATCCTTATCTTTGTTGTTCTTATCATTGTATTTTGACTGTTGTGCCCTTTGGTCTTCTTCAGGTGTTTTTTGCCCCAGGTAAACTTTAGGGAACTTCAAACTGAACCCTTAATTGTTCTCACATTATATATGTCTAAGAATACCTCGTCTTTTTTTTATTACGACTCAACTTCTTGATACTGCTTCTTTAGTTTGTCGTACATGTGGTCTAGATGTTATCAGAACAGTTTAGCGTTCATGGCGCCACCATATAGAACAAGCTCGAAATGCAGTACTCTTTGAAAATTCCATCAAAGAGAGATCAAGATTTGTTGTTTGTTTTTTGTTTTTTTCCAGTGAGTCAGGACTTTCTGGCCAACCTAGTCGTTAGTAATTCTTTGAGTAAAAGACGAGGAAAATGCTTATCTCAACCCCCTTTACCCTTATTTGTTTCGCATATCTTGATATCTATACCTTCTCATCCAATTAACTCCATAATTATCGCACAAATTTCCCGAGAAAAGATTGCACCATTCAACTTATATTTTTGATTGACTGCTTGATTCGTTTTCTACGGTTTATCAACCCACTGCAGATTATTTGAAGCCAGAATATACTCTGACATTGTAAGAATCTTTTTATAGTTGGGAGTAGAAAACAATCATTTTGTGATACAAACCTTACTAATTAAT